AAGTTATATTTGTATCACTTGAATATCATTAATTAATTACTGATTACATTAAAATAATATATACCTTTCGCTTGGAATTGATTACCGGATTTGATAATTACACGATTTCGGCGATTTTTCATTGTTAAATATAAAAGTAAAAATTGAACATTGTAAAAAGTTATATTCATATCACTTTAATATCATTAATTAATTACTGATTACATTAAAATAGTATATACCTTTTACTTGGAAGATATGTGGATAATCAAATTGATTACCGAATTTGATAATTACACGATTTTGGCGATTTTTCATTGTTAAATATAAAAGTAAAAATCGAACATTGTAAAAAGTTATATTCATATCACTTGAATATCATTAATTAATTACTGATTACATTAAAATAATATTTACCTTTCACTTGGAAGATATGTAGATGATCAAATTGATTACTGGATTTGATAATTACACGATTTTGGTGATTTTTCATTGTTAAATATAAAAGTAAAAAATTGAACATTGTAAAAAGTTATATTCGTATCACTTTAATATCATTAATTAATTACTGATTACATTAAAATAACATATACCTTTCACTTGGAAGATATGTGGATGATCAAATTGATTACCGGATTTGATAATTACACGATTTTGGAGATTTTTCATTGTTAAATATAAAAGTAAAAATCGAACATTGTAAAAAGTTAAATTTGTATCACTTGAATATCATTAATTAATTAATGATTACATTAAAATACATACCTTTTACTTGGAAGATATGTGGATAATCAAATTGATTACCAGATTTGATAATTACATGATTTCGACAATTTTTCATTGTTAAATATAAAAGTAAAAATCGAACATTGTAAAAAATTATATTTGTATCACTTGAATATTATTAATTAATTACTGATTACATTAAAATAATATATACCTTTCACTTGGAAGATATGAGATTGAATGCATATTATATAATTATCAGAGATTTGGCATTGTCTTATATATAAAAAAGGAAACAATACCGAATCCCTGATAATACCTATTCTTTTACCACAATGCAATTAATTGTTTTGATATTTTTGAATAACTGGGCTTGGTATGACACTATATATATTATATAATACTATAATATATTTAGTTTTTTTTGTTAGGAAGATACACAGAAGAATTGTTTAGTTATACAAGATCGAAGATTACGCTTTTTAATTCTTCTGCACAGTGTTACATTATTCTGGAAATCCTAAATTTTTTTTTGAGAAGTTCATTAATTAAAACATGAGCAATATGATTGAAAAATTCAGCATATAATTTTCATTGAATATTACTTCACATGGTTAAGAATTCTTCATTGAAAAAGGGTTTAATACATTTGTATTTGATGGCATATTGTTTTGTTAAATATCGGCTTTCATAGTTAAGAATAATTTTTGTTTGTTATAATTTAACACGTTTACTTTTAACTTCTGAAGAACTTTGTTTCATTTGAGATGTTTATATGACATAAGTCACATGTATTTGAAAAATTCTTCTTCAATTCGCATGCAAAACATATTACTTTGTTTAATTTTTTGTTATCCTTGACTTTTCTCAAAAATTTTTCGAATGAGAATTTATTTTGATGAACGGCAAAGTCCTGAATTTTCATAGAATTCTGTGTATATCTTTGATAGTCTTTCTGTATTCATAATATTACTATATTTGGTATAATGTTTTTTAATATTTGTGTATATTTAGATTTTTGTATATTCGTTTAAAAAAAAAGAGAAGAAAATAATGTGTTCTGGTGAGAAAAAAATTAGCACGTTCTGAAAAGAAGAACTGACTATATCATTGTTTACATGTTATTTATATTAATAGAAAATTAATCCCGGTCAATGGTTTTCGATGATCGAAATCTATAGAATTATCCTGACTTAGTTTAAATTCCGATAATTGAACGAATTTACAGTATACTCTTAATTTGTTTTTATATATTCATAGCAAATGTATTCAAAAAAAATATATTTAAGACGATGTCTGCATCATACTCTTTTTGCCAAAAAATTCAATAAAACATTAAACACGATACAAAATATATAAAAGTAAAAATGTCATCATCCAATGAGCATTCTAAATGCAAACCAAAAAAAGTTCAATGTCATTGTCCAAAATGTAAAGGGAAATTTGTAGATCAAAGAACGCAACAAGAGCATATTAGCCTAGCCGATATTGGTAAATCTACAAAAACCAAAATGCAATCACATTCAACTAAACCAAACGTGAAGAAGAACCTCTTCCTGAATTCCAAAAACATAGACAGAAACTGAAGATTCCAGAAACATATAATCGGATAGCGATGTTTCTGAAAATGATGAAGATAAGGAAGAACCGCTACCAGTATTCCAACTGAAAATTGAAGGTTCCGGAACTGAATATTCAAATAACAATAGTTATGAAAATGATGAAAGCAATGATTCAGAAAATGAAGAAGATAGTACAACTAGTGACGAAGATGAAGAAGATAGTACAATCAGTGAAGAGGATAAAGAAGATAGCTCTGATATGGAAGACAATATAATAAGTTTATATCTATAAGATGACTTTGATGAAAAATCATCAATTTCTAGAAAATTATCTAAAGGAAAATTTAAAGATATATCACCAGCTGAAGAAGATAATATGAATCTTGACCAATCTTTAGAAATTTCACAACTATATAATGTATATCAGAAATCTGATGATAATGAATCTATGATAATTGAAGATGAAATGCCAGATGAGCCAAATAATTTACCTTCTTCAAGCGATTCTTTGAATGATTTAAGTGATTCGAGTAAATCTTCAATAGATTCACAAGAACATAAATCTATTAATTTTATTCCACCAGAAATCGATCCTGAAGTTTTTGTTCCACCATTCAATTTTGAAGATAATTCGAATGATTGGATAATCTTATAGGTAATAAAATATTAGCAAAGATTCAACATACCCGATATGGGTATAGAAGCCTTAACAAAGTTTATTCATTCTTTACTCAAATATTTCAAAATAAATGAAGCAGATATGTTACTAGCTTCTATGCATACTGTAAAATCATCGTTAGGTATCTTAACTAAATATAAAAAATATGTTTCATGCCCGAAGTGTCATAAACTTTATAACCCATTAGAAATAAAGGAGTATAAAGAGAATTATCAACTAGCATGTAAAAGGTGTATACATGTAGAATTTCCTAATCATAGGTCAATGATAAAATGATCACTATGTCATGAACCATTAGCAGAATTAATAAATACAAAAGAAGGTGCATTATTACAACCATTAAATCTTTACCCAATTG